TGTAAGGAATAAGAAATATGTGCAATGTTCAGATAATCTAAAAGATCTGGGTTAATGTGATGCATTGAGACAGATGTGGTGCCTGCGTGTTAATGTAATGTGTAGTGTCTATTGGAGGGGATACAGGTCCATTTCATAGCAGTAGCAGTTCACTTTGAGACAGGATTAGGATAGGATGCGACAATCTGAACTGCCGACCACAGCGGAATTAGCCAGGCTCTCCAACAACAACAAGCTGGTGCGTCTGACCTCATTGAGTTTTGTGTGTTTTCCCAGGGAATCTTACTCACCAGCGGTTGTATATGACAACAGCCATGGCTGTAGTAGGAGGCAGAGTAGACAGATCCAGGTCCACATGTTTCACCCCTGGTGGCACTTTGCTCACACATAGGAGCTCGTTCAGTAACATGTTTAACACTGGAATGGTCAAGCTGGCAGGGAAGAAAGATAAATCATTACATGATGCAACAATCTCTTTCTGTTAAGGTAATTACACAGTTACCATTTTAAAATGTTGGAAAATACATTTGCATAATTTTAAAAGGTCAAAATAACAGAATGCCACAAATCCTGACTGGGTCAAAACCTACAACCTAAAATTTCACACATTAACTAAAATGACGGATTACCGTGTCCTCTACAAAATAACACATTTCTGCTGCCTGCTAAAGTGACTTAAATTAAAAAGGTACACATGCTTAAAAAAAACATGAAAAGTTACACTGACGTCCTCCACATTATAAAGTTAAAAAGCCTTTTCACGCACCCTTTCTCAAGAGCATCCAGATCCCACTTCATATGTGCAGCTACTTTCAGTGCCAGCAGCTTCAGTGTGCGGTTCCTGCGGTTGTCTGCCGGAGGCTGCACTTGATTCTGCTCATTCACCGAGGGCTTGGACGCCTGCTCCAGGAACTGGATGATCAGCTGCACTGGCGTTGGGTCTGTGAAAACATACATACATACATAAAAGCATTAACAGGCACACAATGTGTTCATTCGAGGAGTCCACTCAAAACCCCGACTTAACACATACATCCAACCTCGAATGCTTTTAGACTGTTCCAATTCATAAATGTATTATATGCCATCATCTATATTTATTGTGGACCCACTTTTCATTAATTTGCCTCTTCGGGAGATAATTTTCACAGAGAGAGTGATAGCCTTTGCTTTGTGATTCTTACAAAAACAGCACCAAAGCGTCAAGTGTGCCATCATGATTTTGAGAGCCAATATAAAGCTCTAAAGCTAGATGCACTGCAGATATCACAATATGATGTCTTGTTGTTCCGTGGGGTAACGTTTGACCCGTTACCCAACAGGGGGGAAATGCACCATGAAACAACAAAATGAACATCGGTCATGAACAATTTGTGAATTTGTTTTTGAACAATGTCTTTCCATTTAATAGCCAATTATTATGCAAAACACAAAGATAACTGTTACTTCTATGAAAGTGACACTGAAACAGAGCGACAACATTTATACATTTCATCTAATAAATGCACTTTACTCAACAATGGAAGTCAAAAGACAAGGAGATTGATACAATAAAGAATTGTTACCCAATACACAAGGCACGTATATAGATACGTTTTTGTAAAATGATTTGCGGTGTCATGAGTTTCCATCCATTTTCAGCCATGTTTAACTTATTGAGATAAAAAGAGAAAAGGTTCTATGGTAGTTGATACATTGAGTCCAGATGTTTATTGGAGGGAAAGAATCCGTATTACTAAGATATAAATAAGCTATAAATTATTAACTTGGTTTATTTTATTAAAAGACAAAAACAATTTTACCACAAGGCACTGTTAAATAAATGTTCATAAGTAACACTGAGCTGACCCGGGTTTGACTTCTGCAGGTGTTCCTCTAGCAGACTGCCGTCCAGAAGGAACTCAAACCAGGAAGTCTGAGGAGGAGTGTTGGGCCGGCTGCTGGTCACAGCAGCGACCCGGTCCGCAGCCTCGGCACTCATCCTCCCCTGGTGAAAAATGACAAAGATTTGTTTTAAATGTGTTTAATCTTTTAAGACATCACAGAGACCTACAGTAAAGGTTATAAGTCAGATTCCGACTAGCGTAAAGCTCTATCAGGGTTCCGACTCTTTTCCAGGTCATTTTATGAATAGCCTCAACATAATTTTGCCTACTAAAAAAATCCCAGCATTCTGTTGGACATTAGCTTTCTACAATCACTGTGGTCCTGAGCACAAATGCAGTGTGACGGTACAAAAAGCTATTTCAGACATGTTGCTCTCTGTACATCTGTCGGACCACTGTCACAACGCCACACTTTATTTACACCTCACAACGATATGCAAGTGTAATATGGTATAAAAAACTGGGTCAATAGATGTGCAAATATCAAAAGTTAACTGATATTCTAAAGAACACATCACAAAAATAGGAAATATGAATTTGAAATTAAACCAAGCTGTGTTATAAATATGTTTATCACACCATTTCATATCACATCATTAAAATAATTTCCCTTGACGTAATATTTTGCATGACATTTTTCTTTTTCTCTCATTTTCCATGTGTTTTCCATGACTGGAAAATTGGTCAACCGTTTTCCAGGTTTTCCAGGACATGTGGAAACTTCATCTACTCTCTCTCCGTCTATATCAGCAAGAATGTATGACGCAAGTGTCCTGGAACAAAACAGTGAATCAAGGATGAATGCATATCTGCAAGTGGCGGGCTGTAACTAAGCATGTATTATATTTAAGTACTGTACTTATAAATAGAAAATGTTCTTGATTATTTCCATTGTACTGAAGTACTGAAATACTGTACTTTTTACCCCTCTACATTTATTTGACAGCTATAGTTAATGGTTACTTTGCATATTCAGATTTTTAATACAAAATATAATCAACTAATAAATCGGTGTATGATTTCCTACTATAGATTACTAACACTTAATAATATAATAATTAATAATCCAATAATATAACACAGATTATCTTGAAATGAATTTCAGTTCTTGTACTGTTGTATATTTACATTAAGGTAAGCTTATTTTTATTTATATAATAACAAAATCATTTTTGTAGTTCACATTTCCATATTGAAAACAGACGGCCATATTCTATACCTTTTCTTTACCTAATCTATTATTAATTGTCTTGCATGTTGTGGAAGCATATTATATTATATAAGCTTCCACGTACATCAACAATTTAAGTTGAGTATTTAGATAACTTAATTACCTACTTATGGACCATGAAAGCTAATAAATAATAGCTTTATGTTCGTTCGTTGCCAGGAGAGCTTTAATCTTATTAACGTGCAGTCCCGAATGGGCGGAGTTATCAACTTGTCAGCGAGAAGAGTGGGACTTTGACTTCACAAAGATGTTTCGGGGCTGCAAGTGTACTAAATCAAGCGCTCGTTTTCCACCCATTCTGTGTTGTGTTTGTAACTAGCAGTGTTTTGAGCTAATATTACAGCTAACTGGCTAAAATCTACAGCCGGGCCCGGACACAGAGAGACGGACAATCTTACCTCAACAGGCCAAAATGAACAAGTAGAAGATATGAGGTAAATATACACAAAAAAATCTCAAAATTAAGAGCAGGGACAGCTACACGGGCTGCTTGATTCTCACATAATTCATTCTGCGCTTCGCCATCTCTCCACCGTGTTTCCGGTTCCGCTTCAGGGAGACACACAGAGCGCCATGTATGCGCATATTTATGCTCTGTGCGTGAATTTCAAGTCGGGGAAACTGTTTTTCTGCGTTAAATACTGTCACTGTTGTTTACTATGATTCTGGAGTACTGTATAAAAATGTCATTTTTGGTTTTACGAATGTTGAATGTATTCTTAAAGACAAATACTTTTTGATAAATTTTTCGCAAAGTATTACATCCACAAATGTAAATTCACTAATGGCAAACTAATATTGACTGTACTTAAGAAAGAAATTAAATTACATATTGGAGTGATAAACTCATCCCAGAACAAGATAGCTATCAAAATGGTGAAACTATGCACTTTACACAATTTATTTGTAGATTTATTACCCCAGCTTATTTTTATTTGATTTTCCTTGTTTTCTTTTTGTGTATTCTTTGTACTATGTTTATATTCCCCTGGCAAGTTCTCCATTTTGTACTCATAAGGTTTGTTTGTACATTGTTTTAAAGCATTAAAGGTTATTTAAAAAAAATGTAAAATACTTTAGTATACAGTAGTAGAAAATAACTTTTACATTTACTCCAGCACTGTATTGAAGTGCAATATTTAGGTACTCTTTTCTGGTACTTTATACTTCCGTGCATTTTTGACACCTATTTTGCAACATATGAACAGTTTGTAAAATATAGTGCATTTTTCAGTGCAAAAAATCTGCTTAGTGAGCAATTTCAGACCTTAACATCTCTTATTTTCTTTTGACAAAATCTAGTATTTGTAGTAAAATGTAATATTTATAATTGTAGTATAGCCAAATGCCTTATACTTTCTAAACAAGCTGATTTAAACTAAAAACAAACAAAAAATCCTTGTTTTAAGATATCACTGAATATTTTATCTTAGAATACAGGATACATTTGTGTTGATTTTTGGTGTTTGTGTGCCTGAGAGTTAATTGACCCCCTCCCCCGTTAATGTTTACACAACATATAAGATCTGATTCTGATTTTTCTATTGCACATGTAAGTATCTGTATATGTTATGTCAAACTAATATTTAAGATATCTTTATATTTATAGGTTTATGTTTGTTTACTGTTGTATAGTTGCCAAAACAAATTCCATGTCTGTGTAAAAACAACTTGGCAATAAATCCATTTCTGATTCTGATTTGTTAATTACTAATATATAAGGTTATCTTTTTGTTTCCCTCATTTGCATCCTTTTCCATTCTGCTCTAAAGGGCGTGGCGCGATTGCCTGAAAGGAGCAGAGGTGAAAGGAAATATCTGACAACATTAAAAAGACATTTAAAGCAGCTCATAATAAGCATGTCACCAATACTTGTCACACAATACTGTGGAGGTTAGCTTTTTATTCACCAACTCATACACTTTTTAATCTCCCTAAGTAATTCAATAAAACCTAAGATTCACTACATGGCCTTTTGCGGAGGGAAACTTATTGGTGGGACTTGCATGATAGCACCAGAAGGAATTTACCACCAAATACTTCAACACCCAGGGGATGGGAAATGGCCAGTCTCAGACGTAGCCAAAGAGCTAACAAGTCAGCCAGTCCCCACATCTCAAAATAAGGCATCCAGATGAAGAGGATGAAGACAAAGCAAGAAATGAGCAACTTCACAAGTCAGCTTAAATGTTCACATATACTGTTTCTGTTGTCAAGAGTTGTTCAATCTATATTGAGATATAAAACCCCTCTAATCATTACAGGCACCACTGTGTTATTATGTGTAATATACAGAACTGCTCCACAACAAAACCATAGTGAAAATGGGAAAATAGAGAACAATAAAACCAATCAATCAGTCCATAAATACTGATACTTCATTCATGGTGTTTGAAGCAACGCTACACGCCATATCTGATTTCACAAGTTCCTTGTCCTCCAGTGTCGCTGCTAAGATTCAAATAAATTCACCGTCTGTCGCCAGGAGTTCCGTTTAATGAACTCCTAACGGTTGTCCTCTGTAACAGCAGACATCGGCTCACCCTCGCTTCCCTTTTGCAGAACACATCACACTATAGGCAGCTTACAAAGACACATCTTCCCTATTAAAGCTGAGCATATGAGAAGCAGCAACCTTTTACAAGTACATAACACATATACATTAACTGCATAAGCACTTTTGTGAGGAAACAAGAGCTGAAAGTGGCAGAAAGCAAGAACAGCTGTGTTTGCTAGTATATTTGTTTTAGGTCTCAATTACTCTTATCACATTTTCTTCAGATAAAATGTTATCTTGTGAACAGATCATAGAAAAAATGTCTTGACATAAATTATGGTGTTGTGGTTGGTCAATGATCATTATTTAGATCATTATTCCAAATATAATTTGTTCTTCTCACTATTAAGACATAATTATCCAATTATCTCAGGATAATTAATGTTAGTCATAGGTGCATTACTAGATACCTTTTTCTTTTTAGGCAGACATGACCGACTCCATGATTAGAAAAGTTGGATAGACCATGATTATCCCAAGATAGTGAGCCATATAAATCAAAAGAAAACAATGTTTGTTATGTTGAGATAACTGCATAATTATTATTCACAGATTAGTGGGAATAAAAATAACAAGACCAAGAATCTACAGCCCTGCTAGCAGCTCTGTGAAGTTGTACTTAGGTCGTGCTTCGTGTTAAATGCTAACATCAGCATGCTTTCATGCTCACAAAGCAAATGTTAACTTTCAAATGTTTAGTTACAAGATGTTTACCATCTTAGTTTAGCATGTTATAGCATGCTAAGATTTGCTAATTAATTCAAAATAACAAGTACAGCTAAGGCTGATGGGAATGGCATTAGTCATGCAGGTTTTTGTTCATAAACCAAAGCAATGAAGTAAATGAGAACGTTAAAGGTCGGGTATGAAATTCTAATCTAGTCTTGCAGTCAGTTGTGTGTGCGCACTGAAAATAAATTTGGTGTTTTTAACAGAGTCCTGGATCTGTAAATGGGAAACAAACAAAGTGGCTCGGACTGAACCCCACAGAACGCTATTCCTGCCATGATTTGTGTGTCAGGTAAAGTTACATTACTTGCCCACAGACATTCTGCTTAATTTCTAGGTGGCTGAGACATGCTGTTGTTGTGATGTTAGCCATAGTCGCAGGAAAGTTGTGAGTATCGCTGTCTGGAGCTGATGTGCTGGCTCTGGGACAATTTTGTCTCTGCATGTTAGCTTTGCATCAGCAACACTTTGCTAACTCACAATATATCAATGTTAGTTCCAACACCTGTTGTGTTGTTGCTCGTTTTATATCATGGAATTTGTAATGGTATTGGATTTTTCCAGAATCACATACCCCACCTTTAAGGGATGACCAATTGAAAATATTTGATTACAATTCATCCTCAAGTGGACAAATTTCATGGCAATCCAGCTAATATTTGTCAAGACATTTCACTCTTGAGCCAAAAATGTCAACGGGAGTGCTAGAGGAAAAGTCAGGGGATCACCAAAGGCATTGAGCTTAATCTTTGGAAATCATGAATGTTCGTATAAAATGGTTTGCCTATCTGTCTGATAGATGTTAAAGCTAGGGTAACGTTGGACAAAGAATCATAAGCCAGCTCTTCCCTTCAAACCTCAGGAAGTGCACGGGCAGAGCGCGCACAGGTAGACAGGCAGGTAGGCCGTGCTTATCACAGTCCTGTAAGACCAGAGCATTTGATTTTCTGATTGGTGTCTGGATGTAAAGAGAATTTTAACAAATACTTCTGAAATAAATTGCTTACCCCAGCTTTAAGATATTTCACAGATTAAGAGTCAAAACTTTGACCTGCTGGTGAAGCTACAAGGAAAATCAGTGGATCACCAAAATCTTCAAGATTAAACCTCTGGGCACCATTAGGCATATATGTACTAAATGTAATGGTAATTCTTCCAACAGTTGTTCAGATATTTCTGGTCGAAACGAAAGTGGTGGACCAACAGACCAACTAACAACAGACACTGCCATGATGCTAGCACGGACTGTCCGTTGACTCAAAATAATGAGCATTAAAAAAAATCTACGCTGCTCTTGGCTTCTGAACACACAGATCTCACATATTAACCTCTCGCTTCATTAAAAGCATCACAATAACAGTAACGCATGGCTTATAAAACTACAGTACAGTGATTATTATGGCATATTTCAACTTCAACAGGGTTCTCTCGTGTTGATTTTCATCACACAATGTGTAGGCAAACTCCACTACAGTGCGCTCTGTTGATCCAAGTTGATTTGAATTTGCAGCTGCACCGGTAACAGTGATTCGACATTTCTCTGAGCACACACACTGCAAAAACATGTTTAAGTCCTCTGTGTCACACTGTGGACATGATGTGAAATACTGATGAAGGGCAGAGCCAGGTTCAGTAAAGTCTCAGCAGGGAGGCAGAGGCCCCTGTCAGTACTGGAAGGAAATGACAGAGTTCACTTTGTAGACGTGGTACGAGCGGTTCCAGAAAACTCGAGTGAAGTAGTTTGTATACGGTGAGTAGTTCATCTTTATCTCTTGGCAGAACCTTCCGTGCTTGGAGAAAGAGTAAATCTCCCCTTTGTCATAAACAACCTGAATGGGACAAGAGGATGTGGAACATTAATGAGAATTACAATTGTAACACTTTCTTAAAAGCTAATGTCATAAGCATTACTTTCCAAGAGTGAGGCCACTTTGTAAATAAAGTCTGTGTATTCTGAGAACACTTAGCAAACGCTAAAAATCAATCTCTCATTGTAATTACATATATGTGACGATATGGCAAATGCATTTCCAAGAGTTCCACATGTTGGGGAAACATTATTCACTTTCTTGGCTACAGTTAGATGAGAAGATCAATATGACTCTCATGTCTCTACCACAAATGTGTGCATGAAAACACCACAACTCAGATTTCGGCAGTTTGGCAGCTTGCAGTAAAAGAATAAGTGTCTAAACTCACATGTCCATTGGCGATGTCGAGCAGGTCTTTGATCCTGCAGCCTTTATTAAGACTAAGCTCGTTGCAAATTGACTCCTCGATGATCACATAGTTTGTCTTGTGAGAGGTCAGAATCTTATAGATGTCCTCTGCAGATCTCATTGCATACACCTGGTAAGTCTACAAGGAGAGGAATGAAAAGGTTGTTAGTTAACACATCTGATGAGAGAAATCTAAAATCTTGGACCACGGCAAAAATAAATTGTTGTTCATTTCCATGCCTTGAAAAGAGAATGGGTAGTATAGAGATGACAGATGAGGGGACAGAGGTGGACAACATGCAACAAAACTCCATGGTCAGACTTGAACCGTGGATGTTGGAGCTCATGGATGGTAACCTACACCCCTAAGCAACTAGGGCCCTCCATTTTGTCATTTTTAAGGCTCATTATAAAAGTTCATGACATATTACTACAAGACATTAAGCAGGAAGTTTACAATGGATTCAAGTTGTTTTGAGAACATTTTTATAACCAAAAGACTTGAGCTGCCTAGCTGTGTTTAAAACTGACTGTACAGCTCTAAAGCTGATGATACACGAGGCAACTTTTTGAGCAATGTTGCTGGGCAATGTTGCTGGTTGCAATTCTGACTATGTTTTAAACGAATAGGGGAGGGGCAGGGCAGGTGGCGGAGTGGTGGGGGAAGGGGATTACGGCAGTAATCTTTACTCATTACCATTGACAGCAACATTGCTCTAAACATTGCTCTAAACATTGCTCCATGTATCATCAGCTTAACTCATTTGTTTTTGTGTCCAATTTCTTTCCTTTCAAAATGAATCTTTCATCTCACTCACATCTTCAGTCCTCCTCAGCAGGTTGATGTCTGAGTAAAGCGGTAAGCTGGTCACAGCTGAACCTGAACACAGCTTCACTGTTCCTAACAGCTGAGGGCTGCCTGCAAAGACAGCCGCCACTGGAGCCTGTGACCTGGAAGACAAGAAGAACAAGTTGTTATATGCCGCAATAAAGACTTTATAGATATCTTCAAAGATACAGAAAGATCTCATGACCCACCTGATCCAGCTGATCAGCTCTACTGTGTCTGGGTCGTAGAACTCCTGTAGATCTGACAACTCTGCTATGACACGAGGGCAGTACTGCAAGAGGAGTGCAGGAAGATATTAGGGGCCTTTAAATGTCTGACAGAAAGAGCTTTAAAAGATAAAGAGCTGAAAATCTCACCTCTCTCCACAAGCTGAAACAAATGATGGTAGGAACTGCTGTGCTCAGGATCAGAGACTGGAGAGTAAAAAACATAAATCTACAAGTGAGATTCTATTTTTTACTGTATACTAACAGTATATACTAATAACAACAACAGCAACACGTTGTAGGTGACAACATTAGTCGATATTAATCCAATTTAAAACACCCTTTTTAGAGTGAAACAGGAGAAAGAAAGTGTTACTGTCAATATGTGAAAGTCATACACTTCAGAGGCCACTCACCAGTACTACAGGGTGTATGGACTTTAGTTTCAGCCACTTAAATACAGTCATCCAGAGTTCTGGAGAACATACACCGAACGCCGTAAACATGCAGACGTACGGGGTCCACAAATATTTCATCCTGCATGAAAAAAAACCCACAGTCAACATCTAGCTGTGGCATAACCAAAGACAAATGATCAATTTAACGTTACTTGGTTTACTACAGACACCTGTTGGAAATCCTCATTCTTAAACACACTTCTACGCTGATAAACGTACCCATCAAACAGCAGAGCCAAGCCTCCAAAAAGCAATGTGTGAAAAACATGATAGATGACCTCTGGCTGCTCTCCTATTCGTCCATCTTCAAGTCTGAGGTTGGTTTTCATTGGCTGACCACTGTAGGAAAGTATATACTGCTTTCAGCACCATGATAAACATTTAGTAGAGCATCAAACAGATGCCCTTCACAGCAGAACTATAAACTGTAGCTGGGAACCACAGCTGGTTGAGGTCCAGCTTTTATAACCATTTCTGTCAAATATAATTTTAAAAGACACCAAAGAGTAACGTCATGCATTGTGTGTGGCACAAGTCTCTAACCTGAGTCTTCTGTAAATGGTCTGCAGGGTGGACAGCAGGCAGACAGCCAGTACCAGGAAGTAAAAGGGAAGGACCGAGGCCTGTGTCAGTCGTAGAAATAAGTCCTGACTGGGTGTCTGTAAACTCTCTTGGCACAGGAGGAAGTTGGTGACAAAGTCTCTAACATGGAAGGAAATTAAACATTGCAGAGTGCATTAGATTACTCAGAACTGACTAATATGAATACTGTTCAAAACCACAAAGGATAATACACAATGCCACCATTAGTTTATTTCTCTTTACCATTTTTATAATTGCTTCTATATTATATCTTGCTTCTGTATGTCTGCTACGTAGCAGAATGGGGTTTCAAACTCAATTTTAGTCTATAACCTGTTGTATTGTGACAAAATAAATCTACCTACCTACCTACATTCATTTAAACCAATGTCCAGCATGCACTGTAAAAGCAAACCTTTAATTCAATAACTGTAACTCACGTTGTTGTGTTGAGTCCGAATTTTAATTCAAGGAATTTCAATATGTAGTCACTGTCACTTACAGGTACAAGTTTCTGTAAATAAAAAACAGTGATGATTAACCAAACAACTTAATAACTACAAATGAATGCTCATGACTTTGTGAACAAGACGACCCATGTTCTTGTGGTTTTACCTTGACCAAATAACTAAAGGTGATCGTTGTGGTAAAGACTAGGTGGAAATGTAGGAAGAGCTTCATTACTCTGGCCACAAGAGGCCCCATCTTCATCTTTTGCTGCAATATAAATACAGACAAACAGTAATGAGATGGCATCACTCTGCATTCAAACCCTGTTAAATTGAAGGTAATCCCTTTTTAATAATAAACTTCAAAAAAATTAAAATCCTCACATTTGAAAAGGAGCAACCAAACAACGTTTACTGATTGTACCTGATAAAGTGGCTCCGACTGAGCTACACAACACTATTCCAGCTGTTCAAGCCATTATTTGCGTTTCAGGTAATGTTAGATTTGCCCACAAACATTCTGCTTACTTTTTAGTTAACCAGGACATGCTGTTTCTGTGATTTTAGCAGATAATAGCAGGATTACTTGCTGTGTCGTTCACTTTATATCATGGTATTTCCCATGGTATTGGAAGCTTCCAGAATCACATACCCCACCTTTAAAAAAAATGCCTGTAACATGTAATTTCACAGAGATCTGGTGCGAGGGAGCAGCTAACTCTACCTGGAAGTACCTCGCGAGTACTGAGCCAATCAGAAGGCTGAGCAGAGGCGAGCTGAGCAAGGTCGGGTTCTGAAACTGGAACAAGTAAGCCAGGAACAAGGAGCTGAGGTACACCTTGTGAATGTCAGCCATCTTAACATCCCAGAGAGAAAGACAGCGAGAGAAGAGAGAAACAAAGATAAAAGCAGTGTATTTAAGGACAATCGTGGACACAAATACTAGACAAACAGGCATAACCAGTTAAATTATTAGAACACACATTCATTCTTGAAGAATATTTAAACCCATTATAAGTAAAAGATAATGTAATTTTCCTCTTTTTACACATCTTACATTTATAAATAACTGGCCAAAAATTTAAATTTAAAATTCATGCTAACATGTCATAAATCATTAAGCAAGAAAATGTCCTCAGTGTACAAAACTCGTGGCTCATAACTAGATTAAGCCAAAAAGAATGTGCAGTAAACCATAAACTACAACAGCTAATCTCATTCATTACTTCAGCAGTTAAAGGAATAGTTCATGATTTTGGGAAATACGCTTATTTGCTTTCTTGCCAAGAGTCAGGTAAGAAGATTGTTAGAACTCTAATACCTGTCAGTTGACTACTGAGCTATAGCCCCTGTCAGCAACAACTATCCTGGCTCTGTCTGAACTCCCTACCAGCATCTCTAAAGCTCACTAAGTAACATGTTATATCTTTTGTTTATCTGCGCAAAGACCTAAGTGTAAAAGTGACAATTTGTGGTTTCATGCGCAGGACTATTTCTTGGTTGGATGACTTCCTGGAGCCTTATTTTTTACACAAACACTAAGGCACTCTATAAAAAAGCAAGTAGTGGTTAAATGTGATTCAACCGTGCCAACAGACTGTACTCCTTTACTATGCCAGGACTATGTTACCTTACGTGGTGGCACCAGGTCGAAAGAGTCAAGCAAGAAAAGACAGAGGCCTTGGATGAAGAGCACGTAGTGACTGTGTTCCCAAACCAGGAGGAAGGTGAATGTGGTGGCACTCATGGTAAGATAGCAAAACATCTACAGAGAAATACAGTTTATTTTTGTGTGTAAATGCAGTGCTGAATATAGTAGTCGTTTTTAAAAAAAAAAAAAATGGTTTCATTAGCTGCTCACCTCAGTGGCAGAGTTTATGTTATTACTCAGGAATCCAGTCAAAGCTGCAACCTGGCAAGAGAAGTAAGGAAGAGCCCAGTTGTCCCGCAGAGGGATGGCATGGTCTACTTTGGTTGTATCTGGTCTGAGGATAATCACCAACAGAAGAGTTACAAAGTCACCATACAATAGAAAGACATTTTTCAAGTCTGTTTAAAAGCATTTGTTATCAAGGAAGTAGGAGCAGCAGGGAGAAACATTGAAAGAAAGCATGAATGAGGAAGTATACAAGAGGAATATAAGTTTACCACCTTTGATAGGAGGAAAAAACATGAAGAGGCATAGACAGAAAGTAAAGTATGAGGAACGAGTTGGTAAGACATCTACTCACCTGTTAATAACATACCAGGCCACAGCCAACATGCCAGCCACCCAGGTGCCGCTCATCACCCAGCTACACACAAACAGGGCAGTGACATAGATTGCCTGGAGGCCGAATACCGCTCCAATATAAAAGTAGATCGGCTCCACAAAATCCTGAAGGCAGAGACGGAAACATGAGGGTTTCCTCACAGGCGAAGCAAAATTATATGAGCAAAAACTCAATATAATAATATATAATAACAATATAATATCTATATGGTTGCTTTAAAGGTTCAGTGTGTAAGTTTTAGTGGCATCTAGTGGCGAGGGTTGCAAATTCAATCAGCGGCCCTGTGCATTCACGTGCTCCTCGGATGGTCCCAAGTCCCGAGATGTGAAATCATTCTTCCAACTTCAGTGTGTATTCATGTGCTCTGAAGTCAGAATGTGGAATCAACATGAACGCTACTACAAAGATGTGATGGATTATCATTATCAGAGCATATAAACAACACACAGACATCTAGTTCACTCTACATGGACAACAAACCAACTGTATTATAAATTATATGTTTGCAGAATATGTATATGCAATACGTGATTTTTCATGAATGAAAGTTATGTACACTTCTTTATGTCCCATGTACACTTTATTTCTCTTTTTGCAATAAAGATTTAAGGAGGGAAAAAAAGACATGAATGTACCTCTCAGCCCTCCCTTTCCAAGCGCGCAGGAAAAGCAACAGTGGCTGACAAGCTCTGTTGGCTCTTGTGCTAAATAAATACGTGTGGTCCTCTATTTGTCCAAATTTCTCTTCTTTTCTTACTTCTGTTAAACCAGAAGACTACTACTAGCACTACTAATGTTACGTGTTCTTCTTCTTCTTAGTAAGTATTCAACGTATTGACGAAACGCGGCGAGATCCTTGTAAGAGGACCCGCGGCGTATGTAGATAGAAATGTCTCATTTAAAGGTAAGAAAAACATAACGGTTCATTATGTAAGGTGTTTATACATCACTGAAAACATAGTTATGTATATTATATTGCATTTCTGTCAATAGACCATCCTAAATATTACACACTGAACCTTTAAATGGCTGTATGCTAACAACACCAATGCCAGACATCTAAATAAAAATGTGCTTAAATGAGGCAGTGTGCTAACTGCATAACTTAGAGACTACTACTATCACAAGTCTGTGTCGGTGTGGACATGTTTGTTGCTGGGCCCAGAAGCAAGAAGTCATCATTTTGTATTTGTCAAAAATGATACTATGATAATCCATTGCCAATGCAATGAAAAGGTTGGACTTCCCCTCACTTTTTTCTGGCACAATGCATTGAACGATTTATTGCATTATTTGGTAGCAAGCCCATTAGAGATTATTTTAACAACATGGAGAATTATATTTATTTCAAGTGTTAATTCAGGGTTTTTACAGTGAGACTTGCTATCTTGTAAAATTATGCTATTTCTTGCACCAAGCAGCTCCATGCATCTTGTGATAGAGTATACTGAGCTTAAAGCTGAAAGGCCCCCAGCTGTAAGACAGGAATGATGTTACTATTTCTAATATGTTTGCCGATGTTTGCTTTAAGACAGGGCATGTTACTGGTTCAGCATCTTTTTTCTTAAAAATACACATGCGGCTTCAATTGCATATTACCATCAGATAAAAATATGGATGTATTGTAGCATGGTGAAAACTGACAATGCCCTAATTGCACTTTAACTTAATTCAGAAGCTCCAAAAACAATAAAAAAGCCTCACCTGGCTGCCTGTGACTCTGTATATGAAGCTAGTGATGAGCTCTGGATAGAGAGACAAATGTTCCACTACGTTGACAGTCTGACCTGAAACAGTCCTGTTATCTAACGTCAGCTCATAAAACCCTGGAAAACACAAACCACATAAGATGAGTTGATTGACAAGGACAGAGTGACATTTGTAACCCTTTAATTCAAGAATTTGTCTTTTGTCTGGCATTTTATTTTATTAGATACTTCCATCGTCTTTCTTTAATGAGAAGCAGAAAGGATAAATGTACCTCTTTCAAAAGATGGTACTGTCAGCATGTGCTTGTAATAGTAGTAATAGAGCCCACTGCCTCCTTGGAAGGTGATTTCACGCTCCAGCTCCTGAGACACATTGGAGTGAATTTCAGAATTGATGTGATATGGCATTAAAGTGGAGGTGTAATGGAAGCAGACATGAAAAACAGAGCCACCCACCTGTCTAGTCGAAAACCAGAACTTCCTGTCATGATATGTAGACAGATACACAGCATAAAGCATGCCACAGGCAACTGCTGCCAGACATCCAAAGAACACCCTCACCAGGCGCTGCAAAAAGACAGCTGAGGAGCAGAAATATAACACTGAATATCACATATCATAACAATACTTGCAAGTTATTATAAGTGTGTTAAACACCTTTTGAGTGTATTTAAAGGAAAAATATACTAGGACTATGCAGCCACAACATCATCAAGGGTTAATTGAGTCTCTTTTTTAAGATGGATTCTGTATCACTGCTGACTGGTAATGGTTTAAACTGCTCATCCAGGTACATACTCTACGGATAAAAAAAGATCCAAGAGTGCATCAGGAAGATGGCCCCCAAAGATGAAGGGCTTAGTGAATATATACATATATATATATACACACACACACACACACACACACACACACACAGGCAACCCTGAACTGGAAAAGGTCCTGTAACGCTGTTACATTGTCCAGGTTTGACCAGGTACTGCAGGAGTAAAGCAACAATCTACATATCAAACAAAAATAGCACAGACACAAAAAGCTTTAAAGTACAGAATTCAATTCAAAGTGCTTTAAATGTGATTGTTTCCTTTATTGCAATCCATTAGTGTGTGCGTGTGTTAGAAAAAGTGAAAACATTTGTATTGCTGTTATTATTGTATTTTCTGTTGTCTATCAGAGCATCCCCACAGTGAACTGCATGTTTGTGCTGAACTCAGGATACTGAAATGTATTCTTAAAAGGACAAATACACATTTTGTTCAGCACAAGACTCCTGAAATAAAGTCAGACAATCAGTTATACTTTAAGTACATGGACACATTGATCCAGTGGCTTATTTACAAAAATGCAATGCACATTTGCTGCTTCTCTTATTTACATTGCAAGCTACTTTTCAGAACATTTTTAACAAATGCTTTCAAAAAAGTGATGGGGACAAAAAGCCATCTCAAAAAGTGGTGGGGACAAGCCCCCAGCATCCCCAGTGTAAACAACACCTATGTTCAGGACATAAACTTACATGCAGAAGAGCTCTTGGATCTTTTGATAGATATTTCAGGTCTTTTTGATTCTTCCTGTTTGTGTTGAGGTTCCTCATCTTTCCTCTGCTTGTCATCTGCTTCACCAGTGGACACAGTCCCCTCATCCTCTCTGTTCACCGGGCCATTAACATCTGTTCAGGTGTCACATCAGACAGACAGATGTTTAACAAATACACGCTTTGTGACAATCTTTACAAGCATCCAGGTCAGAGGTAGTGTTTCTCTGGAAAAGTTAACAAAGTTACCGGGATGCTTCTGCACGGGATGCTAACTTGTGTTCAGTTAGTAAACTGCTAAGTTGGATAAACTCACGTGTTGTCTGCACATCAGGCTCATGTTGGCGCTCATCCTCTTCTTTATCTCCCTCCAGAGTCTTTGCTGTACGACACCTTAACTCGGTCATGACTACAACTAATTAATCCGAGAGGAGTTGTCTGGTGTGTTGACACAGCAGCATGCTAGCTAACAAGCAGTTAGCTAATCCAAGAGCCTTTCAATCAATACCATAGACTGTAGATCAATACTTCCCTTTGCGGGAAACAGGGCGGGTGACAGGTGGAGCTACAAGCTTCCCTTTTCTAGATCGACTTTTCCTGCACGGAGTTGCAAAGAAGCAGCTGTAGATTTAATGATGTTGTCTGTGTGGAGGACTCAAGTTAGCTGCCGAACCCTTACCAATCTCGCTCCTCCTGCCTGAACCGAACCAACGAAGTAAACGAATACTAGCCAATCAGAGGCAGAGGAGGGCGGGCAACGACGTCATCACGGCGGAAGATGCTGATGACTACAGAAAGCAGCGAAGAAGAGCGAGGACCAAACTTCACTATATTTTCATGTTATTTAAGAAAACTTAAAACCAAGGAAGGTTAAACTCAAGGGCAACTGGACTTAGTTGAAGATACTAGTAGATAGATCCATAGATTCTAGTATATTCAACCAAGTCCAGTTGCCCTTGATTTTAACTTTCCTTGGATAACTATGATCTGGATATCTGAGAACTTTGACAATTTATATTAATCTATAAAACAAAAAAGTTTCAAGCGCTTCATTCCTAAAATAATTGTATATTTAACATATTTGGGCTAGGGGTAAATGTTGAGGGCCATTTTTTATGGATGTTTTGACTAAACTATTTGTTGATTAATTCAAAAGAAAGATAGTAATAAGAATGCATTTATAATCAGGGTGGCACAGTGCTGTAGTGGTTAGCACTGTTTAATTTAATTCTAATTGGAGAAAGTGTACATCTGATGCCAGGTTGTAAAACCTGGATAGGGGCAAGCAAAGAGCCCTGCTGTGAAGTGACCAGTTGCTGCACTGATTGAGAAAATGTTGTAATTTTGGGTGGCATAAAGTCAAACTGGAATGAAATTGACAGACACAGATAAAGAGGAATAGTTGTGGGTGTGTGGCAAGCCAGCTGAAAAAGACTCATGTGATGTGAATTTCATAGTGAAAGCAGTTTAATCCAACACAACAGATTTTCACTGCTGCATGCTGAGTGTACAGTTACTATGTAAGCAGGAGTGCAACTTACATCAATGGGTGTTAAATTTCTCTCTTAAAAAATAAAAATAAAATCAGAGGAGACAGCCAATGCAAAAAATAGGCACAAATAATAAAATCCAAGACTGTGATAAAATCTTTCAAATCAGGAACCTACAAATTTTGGTCCCAAACTTAAAAATAGGGGTAAAAATATTAACACCATAAATTAACATATATCTAATGTATATAAAACACACTGTTTTAACATGAACGCTAAGATTGTTAGGGAGTGTCTCTCCGAGGGATTTATAACACTTTAGGAATAGGAAGTCTATCAAACTTGGAGCCACTAGGTGGTCTGAACTTCCCAGTCTGGAAGGTGAAAGGTAGCAATATAAAGGTGTTTCTTCAACCTGTTACAGCTTTGTCTTATCCGTTTATTCTTCTTCTGGTGATTCCTCTGAGCCCTCCTCCTCGCTCGAGCTCTTTTCTTCAATCGGTGTGTCTGTTTTGGACAGTGAGAATAATGTTTAAACTCTTTATTTTGAGGTTCTATTACATAAGCATTGATAATGACTTGGTTATGTAATCAGTACCTGTATTGGTTTTGTTCAGGCTTCCTGTTGTCCCAGCTTCTTCACCATCACACCTCTCCAGTATTATTCTCAGGATTTTGGTCACTTGTGGGTGTTTAGCTGCCTTGGTTAAGGGTTCATCATCTGAACAGTTGCTTGACGACCCTGAAGAATGATTAATTTAAATTAATGCATGACTAATATGGACAAAGGGCATCTCAGATTGATTGAGAATTCATTCAGAATACATTTTCTTGTATACTCATTTATTTAACCATATTATGTGGCCTCTAGAACCTCTAGTCTCACTGTTGAGTGTTATGAACTGCATTTTCATTTCTTCTATCTAAGCCCAGCGTGGCCATAGTCTTTACCTGAAACAGGCATCTTTCTTGGCCTTTTCAGAGCTGTGCCCCTCTTCTTCAGAGCTGAAGCTTTTGTTTTGTTTTTTGTTCGTTTGTCTGTGCGGCTCTTTTTCACAAGATTAATTAAGGGTTCATCATCTGAGCTTTCATCAGAGAGTCCTGCCAAATGATAGTTTGTTTTCTTTTAAAATCTTTTGGCAAAAATCACATGTTTTGTTCATGTCATGATTAACGCTACAGTACCTCGTCTCTTTCTCCCTTGCGATAAAGTTGTCTTCTTTGTGTTTTTCTTCACTGGTTTCTTCTTCTCCGTGATGAGGTTCACCAAGGGCACATCATCATCATCCGAGCTGTTGTCTGAAGATGAAGGGTCTTTTAAAACCCAAGAGGTTAGTACTTGGAATAAAACGGAATTTAATTCATTCCTTCTGGACAGTCTAATGAAAGTGCTGCCTACCTTTCAGTGATTTGTTTTTAATTTTTTGTCTTGTTTTCTTGCTGCTTGACGAAGTCTTTAGCTCTTTAGGAGCTTTTGTCCACTTCCTCTTTATTGTTGCGTGGGGTTCATAATCAGAGCCGCCACTGGAAGACTCTGCATATTTCACTAGAGCAAATAAAACATTTTCATTTTTTGTACAAGTGCTTTGAGAACAGCATGTAAATGAGTTCCACATTTGAACACCTACCAGTTTTCCTTGCTGCGTTCCTTTTGGATTTCATAACAGGGTTTGCTTTTCTAGACGCCTTTCTCTGATGTTGGGATGGGAGTTTCTTGGCAAGTTCACTCAACAGCTCATCATCCGAGCTATGATCCGAGCTGTCATTGTCATCCAGTGATTCTGTGTAAAAAAAAAAGAATTAAAAAAGAAAGTCAACAATACGCATCTGCAAAATTTCCCGTTGGTACTGTAGGTGCATGGAGAGAAAAAAATCTTACCTTTTTTCTTTGTATCAACTGATTTTTTCAGAGGCACTGAGAAATGCTTCTTTGCAGCTTTGGAGGACACTTTGGCAATGTTTATGAGAGGTTCATTGTCAGAGCTATCATCTGTATTCAAATGTGAAACAGTTACAACAAAATGTTAAAGTCATGCATTCCAGACAAAAATCAGAAAATACAGAAAATATCCACATTTGAGAAGCTGAAATCAGGAAAATTTGAATCAGGAAAATTTGAATTTTCTTCTTAGAAAAATGACTCAGAACAATCAATCGATTATTAAAATAGTTGTTGTCCATGTAATAGTAACCACCTGCTTTCTTGTTATTTGTGTCTTTAGATCTGGGTGACGTGTTGCCTTTTCTCACTGGTTTCTTAGCTGGTGCAGAAATAGTTTTCATCTTTATTAAAGGCTCGTCATCCGAGTCATCTGAAGCTACAACAGGAGAAGATGTACAAAAACAAAATTTAGTACCGTTTGCTTTCAAAGGCAGCAATATGTCAAGCTGAACATATTTTACTTCAGCTGGCAGAATTGTTGACAGCGTTTTTAATTTGCAGTCCTCACCACTTTTGTCCTTTTTGGAATTAGCGTTGGAGCTGTAGGTTAACCTGCGTGTAATTCCACTCAACTGCTTCTCGTCACTGGGTGTCCTCTTCAGGAGCTTTGAGAGGGGTACATCATCATCAGAGCTGGAGCTGTCCTTCCCTGGCCAATCAGACACAACGGGATAAATACCAGTAAATATATCTAAGCCATCAGTCTAGAAAAATTGTAATAAAGGTTTGACCATAAATTTTGACCCAATAAACTACCTTTTTTCTAGTCTGCATAGCCTGATTTTACTTAAGTATTTTTTTACAGTACTTGTTATAATAATTTATAGTTAACTAAAGTTTGGTTAAGTTAAATTTACAATAAGTAAAACTGTTTACCCACTGTCCCTCCACAGATGAATGCAGTCATTGCCAGGGTTTGCTTAACAACGAGATCTTTTTAAAGGCCAAAGCATATTGGTGAATGTGTGAATTGTGAAAGATTAGTGTTTATAATGTTATGTTTTTATGGTGTTTGTCTTTATTTGAGAGTATATTTGATAGATTGATAGAGAAAATAGGGCTGAAGAGAAATTCGGTAGACAAGCTGGCTGAGGTAGAGCTAACTTGGATTACTTTAACATACTGTGGCTAGTTCATTAATCCATATCAATATTTTAGAAGCTGTTCATGTGTGTTGTATGTAAAATGATAATCTGCAAAGGCACAAGTTACAATAGATGTCAGATGAATGTAACGTTAGTGGAATGAAGTACATGTTTTCCTTCAGGAATATAGTTAAATATAAAGTAGCTTAAAACGAAAATAAGTAAGTAAAATACTTCAAAAAGAGTAAATTATTTTGAAGTTGTAAGCTAACTTAGCCTTTAACTAGCTACAACGCACTCCGGTAACATGTCAGCTAATATTAAAAATAACAATATTAACCTAACTACCTGGAGAGTCGTGTACATTAGTGGGCACGTCAGTTGTGCTGCAGTCCATTTTGTTGCTCAGTATATTAGCTAATTATGCTCTTCATCCAAAACGTGCCAAGTTGGTCTAATGATGTTAGCTTCTTCTGTTTTTTGAGTTAATGTTAGCTAAACTCGCAGTTAGTGTTTAGCTGGTTATTGGACGTCACTAGCTGTTAAGTGTGCAGCTCCGCCAACCTTCAGCTAAAAAATTACTGTGCCGCAGAGTGTCACTATATAACTTTAAAAACCAGTTTCCCCAAACATAAAGTAATGTTACTTCCAGCTCACGCTTTAGTTTGTTTTCTTCCGCTTCGGGTTCGGAGAAAAGCCAAAGGCGAAACGGCGAGTGTTGATGACGCCTCCCGACGTCATCGGTCGATCAGCAGTCAAACTAAAGCAACCATGAGAGCAACTATCAAAAACAAATCACTGTTTTATTGCTCATGGCTTCACAGTGGCATTTTGTTAGCTGGACAACTCTTAAATAATAATAGTTTCATATTCAGAATTCAAGAGTCCATAAAGAATAGCTTTGCAGCAGGAATATGACATCCATTGTGACACAAATTATGGAATAACTAAGAAAAATGGAAATAACTAAGAAATTCATAGTACAAACATAATAAGTAATGAAGGACACAAAAAAGCATGCTAGAGACTCATATTCAAGGATCCACCCATCAAGACATAAAGAGAGAGAGAGAGAGCAATACAACAAGTTAGTTAAAATAAAAATAGCCTATGTTAAAAGGTTCTGTCAAATAAAAAATACAATAAAAAAAGGTTTAACCAAAGTATGCCAAGTATGTGCAAATCTCAATCACTAC